TACAGATATATGCATTCCCTTAAACGAATCAAGCAGTTAGGGGAAATGAAAGTGTTGAGTGGATTCCATCATTTGGAAATAAAAAAAAATGAACCCACTTTCACGGAGTCTGTTAAGATTCTCAGAGACACTAAAGAATGTAGTAGAGTTGCTCATTTGGGTCTCAAAGTTGTAAAGCTTTACAGATTCCAAATCATTCTTCTCTTAAGTAGCTAGTGAGTTCATAGTGTTAGCTTTTTGCTGTCAGTCATCCATGCATTAAGCAATGCCACCTAAGCTCCCTTTATTTAGAAGACATATCTGTAGATCTAGCCCTTGCTTTCTGATTTTGCTTTTCATAGTTCAATTCTTCAGTTCTAGTAAAAAATTATTTAGAACTGATCTCCATTTCTATTTTCTTTTTCTTGCTTGGTCTTGTGATTGGAACTTCTGGGTTGAACATAAGAGAAAATAAATTAATCTGAATATGCCATAACACCCCACCCCAATACACTTTGAGTTCAAACATACTGCCATTCAGTCAGTTTTGAATCACAGAATATCATATGGGATCAGACTGTTATATCCTTTGCCCTGTGGAGTGGTTCATGTGTTGAAACATTAACCCCTTACTTTGAACCACGCAACATTTGGGCTCCAAATCTGAACCAATTAATACTAAATACGTAACCAAATTGACAAGAAGGAGAGTTGCTTTTGTTTGGCACTATCACATTGACTATAATACACAGCAACCCTATGAACAAAGCTGAACATACCCCTGCCCTGAAACATCCTCATTATCTATGGTATACTTGAGCTCATTGTGACAGTCACTGTGTCATAATCATGTATAGACATTATAAATCCTCTGCTAAATATAATCTGTGAGTGTCATTATTGGTTTTGTACATTTCCCCCATCACTTTAGATTAACAAATATAGAGCAAATGAAGACCATAACAATGAGAGTTACATTCAATTGTTGTTGGTTTTGGGTGCCATCAAGTCAATTCATACTCATGACAACTCATGAAAAAGAATTGAACTGGTCAGTGGGGTCTCTAGGCTGGCAGGTGTATGAGACAGAACGAGGTCTCGCTCCTGCAGTCACTGGGTGAGTTTGAATACCAACTTTAACAGCTGAATATGCAATGATTTGTTATGTACTAGAATTGATAAACTTTTGACAATAATTATCTAGAGAAATAAGATTTCCATAAGTTATTCATACTTTCTGATTAAATTTAGCCACCAAGGTTTCAAAAAGTTTTTATTTTTTGTTCACACAGTACAGTTTCTATTCACTATATTAAACCATTCTATGGCATCACTATTATTTAAAAGGTACAGAGCCAAATATTTGTGTAAAGGAGAGTATTATAACCTCTTTATTGCTAATATAAAATAAGCTCTATCAATAGCACAACAATTTGGGTTGACTCTATTTTTAATAAACTAGTATTTTATGTTCTTTCATTCCATTTAATTTGTGAGTTAACTGAGATGATTAGCTTTCTCAGTTAGACTAGCAGGGTGTCTATTAAGCATCAGTGTATTCATTGTTTTTCTTAATTCACTACCTTATAGAAACAAAAGTGTCCTTGACTTATTATGGTCTATATCCTGTTCCACCAGATTATTGTATCAAATGCTTTCTCCAACTTCATTTAAATGATTCATAAAATATGACTTTGATAACATGCTTAGAAAAGAAATATGTGGCACATTACAGCTCATGAATCTTGCAAATAAGACAAGCTTCTGTATGGGCAGAATGAAGTTTCCGTGGTTTATGTTTCTCTTGCTACTTGAGAGCACATTGTCTTATGCTATCTTGACTAGTAATTTTACTTCTGAGCAATTTCTGTTCTCTCATCACAATCCTGTTTTCTTGAAGTAAAGCTTTCTTCATTTAAATTTTTAATTTTTTTCTTTCATCACTCCTCTTCTATCTTGTCCTGTGACTCCTCTATCAATATCTCCATCTGTGCTGATTCTTTCTTGATAATTAACTGACTGGAAATGAGGGTAGGTGTTCTGTCAGATCTATAATCTGTCTCATATTCTTTCATACACTTTCTCTCACAAATATATTTTGGAATTAAGAAAAAAAAATGAAGAAGAAGAAGAGAGAGAGAAAAAAATATCCTGGAGAAATCTCTGCCAGCATCATCTTTGAGAGACTATGTATTCTTTTAAGCCTGCGGTTCTATATACCACCATAAAACAAAATTGATACATAGCTTCTTTACCTATGAATTCTTTATTCTGATTCTGCTATCAACATGAACCCAAATCTCTATTGATGAGATAAGCCTATTTGACAATAAAATGTTGGTCAAATTGCATGCCAGCTGCCTGATCATGTCTTCCATGGTGAATTACTTTGTAAATGCATCTATGGGTTATTCTTCTTGACTGATTAAATCATCCCACTTGAATTTTTTCAATGCCTTATTTTAAGAAGTTTAACAAAGACACAAAATCCACCCCAAACAAACTCTGTTTCTTTCTAGTCAGAAGAACTATAACCACCACTACGACCACAACTACTGGTGTCCTGTGATCTGTTTACATCTTGTCTTGGTGGCATTTCATCTAGTTATACAGTATCATGGAAAATGTTCACCACATCCATAATTACAGGAAGACTTCATTTTCATGAAAAATTTTAAGAGACTCCAGATCTTGAAAAGAATGAAAAATTATCTGATCCTGGCATCGCACCCTGTGTCAAATAATAGTATTACTAATATCAAAACAAAGGCTATATCACAATCAATGATACTAAATTCACCTACACAGTCAGTACAGTTGACTGCTCAGCATCCTTTTGATGCAGCCTAGTTTTGCATTGGGTTCCTGAAGTCATATTCCATTTCCAGATAGATAAATTAAATATATTCTAAATCCAGATTTTATATTTCAATATTTAAAAAGTATTTCACTCCATTTTTTATTGTAATGTTATAATGTTGAGAGAGATGTACCTTCTTTGTTAATAAGTAAAAGCAATGTTTATTGAAGAACGGAAAACTGCACCATTAAATTTAAAATAATGACCTTTGATTGGCAAGAAGACCTAAGTAAACTTCTAATATATAACAATCAATTTTGGAACTGAGAAGAATTGTTAAATATCAAACACATTCCTTACAATAAGGAAATCAAGAGATGGATGTGCAAGTTATACAGCCAAATGATGTTATTAAACATCATTTTAAAAATCTAGGATAATCTAATAATAAATTCTCCAATGTGTAAAAATCAAGCCAAAAAGTCTCAAAACTTATTAGGATCATTTGTTGTGAAATTGCATGTAATCATGTGCATTAATTTCATAATTTGAATTCTGACTTAGAATTGCTGAAAATGGAAATAAAAAAGGATGCATCAACTTTTTCTCTAGTAAGTTCAGAAAAAGTTATACCAAACAAACCCTATGCTATTTTTATTTTTTAATAATTATTTTTTCTTTTCTATTGTCTTTAATTCCACATGTATTTTTAGTGAAAGATGGGAGGGATGCCACTAAATCAGTCCTCAGTTTGGATTTAGTAGCTCCTATGTTTCCCTTGCTCCTTGAACTTCCAATTTTGCTTTATTTTAAATTGTGATCATTGTTATACACATATGCATCACATAATCTGTGAATGATGTGATTAAAAATAGGTCAATATTGATTTATAAAAATGAAATTTGAAATCCAAAATGGGAAATTTTCTTTATTTGCAAGCAGAAACTGGCTTGGAGGGTTTTTTTTTTTTTTTTTTTTTTTTTTTTTTTCGCATTTAAAATGTTGTGAATTGTAAGCCATTATTTAGGATCTTGACTTTCACCAAAATATTTTATGTGCAAATGGCTTCCATATGGGTGCTTTCAAACCTGACTAGTCTTCAATAATTCCATTGCTTTTGATTGTTCCTCATACCTGCTCAACAACTTTGAGAATTTTGGAAATTGTCTTAAACTTCTAAATATCTAATGGAGAAAAAAGGAATTTAGAAATCCCTACTATTTTTATTATTGTCCCATTTTGTCTGATTTCTGAAAGAACTAGATTAAGAAATTAAACAAATTTTTAACTCTAATGGAATTACTGATATGTATATCAGTATGTCTGTGATAAAAAGCATTTGGTCAGTTATCACTCAGTCACATAAATTTGGCCTTTTGGCACTGAAGGGTAGAAGAGCTTATTATTTCCGAGATATTGCCTATTTTTCTCCCCTGTGTTTATGAAAATGAGACCAAAATTCACCTTTAACTGTTTTGGGGTTTTGGTGTTTCTTTGTGGTTTTTTTTTTTTTAAACATGGAAGAATTTATTCAAGATTTCCAGTAATGTTTTATGTTGAAGATAAAGTTTTAAGAAAGGACTCCAAAGAGAAAAAAAAATAGACATTAGTTACTGGTTTATTTTTTAAGTTGTCCCCCTTCATGTCAAAAGGAGAGAGTAAAAAAGAATTGCAGTTCTAGCAACCATGAATGCATTAGTTCTCAAGTGATCACAATGAAGGTGGTAAGTATCCCTTTAGAACCACATAGTGTCTGGATGTGCAAAAGCTCAGAGATCTTGATGAAGGTCACACAGCAGGGCAATGGAACCTTGGAGAAAGGCATCTGGAATCCTCACAAATTGTTCCAGGCTCTAAGAGCTGCAGCCCTTGCTTTTTCTCTTGGTGATCTTTATTGCTTAATATGGGGGATTCATCCCTTTGGAAACCCTTTATCATTTCCCCCTACAGTGCCTGACACAGCAGGATGCTTCTTCATCCTCCTCCCAGATGGTCCATTTGTCTGCTCAAGAGCCAATTAGGAATCCAAGTGGCCAGGCTGCTCAATATTAAGGAGGCCCATGCTTATCTCTTTCAGCACCTGACTCCTTCAGTATGCCTCTTTCTCCCTTACCCACTCCCCTCTTCCACTTCCCTAATCCCATCCCAAATAGGCTATGGATTTTTTTTTTTCTCTTGCTCTCTCTCTCACTCTCTCTTTTCTGTATCTCTCGGAAATCAGACAGGAGTTCAGAGCACTTTCACTACCTTTTATGAGGTAGATTGTGATGTCATAGATGGGGGCAGGGCTAGTCAACTTTCTACCCACCTCCCAACCTGTGCTGAGGGAGCTCCAATCGGGAGTGGAAGCAGTGATTCCTCCATGGTGAGTAACTTCAATTTCTAAACTGTCTGTTTCTCACTGTAAACATTATTTGTTAAGGCAGGGGGTGGTTTCAAGGAAGTTAAGATATGTCCACTCAAGCCCTTTTTACTTACTATTAAGATAAGTAAGGGCAAAAGAATTATTTTTTCTTTATGTGGGTCAGAAATTCCACACAGATACATTTGTCAAGCATAATATAAACCTAATAAATGAAACCTGTATTTTATTTCTTTATTTATCAATCTTTCTTCCCACTGAGACTGGAAATCATTGTATATGTGAAATAAATCCAGTCTATAGTCCTTTGATGTGTAACTCCAAGGAAGGCTACTTGGAAGGATGTGTTCTTCTTTGTTTTAGTAGATATCAGGACTACTGAACATTATTTATTGATATTTTCGCAGAGAATTAGTCTTCTTAAGATCATACGGTTAAAGTATGGGGAAATTGGTACATATGGGTCATCAATAAACTTGGTTTTGATAAACAAATGAAAGTTTTCTAAAGCAAAAATAAAAATTCTTGAAACAAAATCATTCTTGTAAGTTTAAGAGTGTAGCTATTTCAAGATGTCACAACCAAATTTGCTACCTTTTCCTGTGCTGTTGTTGCATGTCATAACACTGATGTTCTTTTATAGGTTCTCTTTATAGTTAAGCGCTTTACTAAAAAGCTGCTGTTTTTTGTTTCACTTGGGTTTCTATTATTACTGATTAGTTCTTTTATATACCTCCATGTTTAGAAAGAAAAGATCAACTGAAGGGAGACCCCCCCCCTTTTTGTTCCTTGTTCTTTCCTGAGCACTTATTAAACCTGTCAAGATATCACCTTTTATATAAAGGGCAATGGAAGCTCATGGAGGTGGTTAAAATTTTGAGGATGTCGAAGCATAGTGGTTGGTGTTTTTAAAAGGGTTTACCTGTCAGAATGTGAAAACTGGTTGCTTTACATCAGAGTGTATTATATGTGTGTGTGTGTGTGTGTGTGTGTGTGTATATATATATATATACTTTTCAAAGTATACATTTCCTAGCTAACTAGCCTTGTGTAGTTAATCATTGCTGTTAAAGGAATTAGAGGTAGTTTAAAATGGTCCTTCCTTTCTCATCAATACTTTTCCCTTATATATATATCTCTCTCTTCCTTCCTCCAAACTATGGCACTGTTAAAGGTTACAAGCATTTAAGCTGATAGTGGCCTTTTCTATATCCTAGAAAGGATCATTGTAAAGTTTTATCCCTACCTATGTTTTGGGAGTCTAAAAAAGTGCCTTTATTTGTAGGAGTCTCAAGCCAGAAAAGAAAAATTGAGAAAAACTAAAGAATAGAAAAGCATTTTAGTAATAATCACCTACATAATACTGTAATGTGGCAATATATATTGAGTTATTCCTCTTAAGCGTCTGGCCCACTTTACATTAAAAGTGCTAGTGGAAGCAAACCTTCTGTGCCAGGAAAATCTGATGTCTAATCAAAGCTGAAGTTTTTAATGTCTTTTATCAACCTCTTATACAGCTGCCAGGTAAGAAATGCTCATAATTTGCTAATTTTGGAACACAATCATCTTTATAGTCGTGAGTTAAGAACAGTTGTGGTGTGCACTTGTGCAAATTTGGAGAGTCTCTCGTGGAATGCCTTGTGCATGCACTTGTTTATTTTCATGTGCATGCTTCATTTCCAGTGGTGTTCAGTGTTTTCTTTTAATCCATTTTGTATGTATCAAAATTATAATATTAAAATACATACCTATATTGTTATCTAAAGGAGATAATGAAGTATACTAGACGTTGTATCCATTTGGAATTTGAACACATTGGAGATTAGGGTTTGTTGGGTATTTTGGTTGGTGGTTTTGGTTTTGTTTTTTTTTAATTGATTAATTAGCTAATTTAAAACAAATTAATCACTTCCTTGAGTGTCAATTTTCTTTTTTGTAAATAAGTACACAAATGTAGGTAATCTAAAAAATCTTTCCTAGATAATTCCTCGTCTAATGTTTTATGATACAATTTTTTTAAGAAATGTGTATCAAAAAAGGAGCAAAAAGTTGATAAGACATAGGTTTTAAATTACATATAGGATTATTCAAATAAGAAAAATAATCCAAATGAGACATAACACTTAATGTTATGTCATGTAGTGCTACATGTTTAATAATAGTGCTACATGTTTAATAATAGATATGTGTGAGACAGATTCTTTTAGATTAACAACATCATATGATCAATCTGCTAAATTTAAAGCACTTAGAAAATTTTGTTTGAACTGCCATCTTCTGAGTTCATGGTAGTTTGCTTTATGTTAATTTGGAGGAAATTTAAAAAAAATTAATATCTTTGTGTTTGTTAAGTGATCTGGCATTACAAATACGCTTATATTTCAGGTAATAGATGAAGGTACAGCTCTTACAAGGGCACCAACATTCAAAATTAGGTATATAGTATTGCAAGACTTCCCACCATGGAATTGTAAAGTGTTGAAGAGCCATGAATTTGATGGAATTACAAACTGCGGATTAGGACCTAGTTTAGTGTAGCAGGTGGCATGTTGTGCTGCTAGCCAAAAGATTGATGGTTTGAATTCACCAATAATTCCTTGTGAGAAAGATGGGAAACCTTTTCTCATAAAGATTTACAGCCTTGGGAAGGGGGGGAACACAGAGGGGGAGGATAGTATGGGTGAAACCATAGGGTTTGGAGGGTGGAAGTAGTGGGGGGAAGTAAATGGGAAGGATCTAGGTGAAAAGATAGATTAAGGATATTATTTTTTATTGAGATTTTCATGAAAATTTATAGAGAACTTGGATTTTAATTCATTCATTGTTGCACATTTTCCTCCCTGCCCACCCATCTCCCCCAGTTCACTTCTCTCTTTGAAAAGAAAATACTTTCATTGTTGTACGATTTCCCACCCCCACCCCAATCCATTTTACTATGCAGCTCTTATTCTGGACTGTTGTCATGCAAAAAATAGCCAATCATATATTTCTTTTATAAAACATAATGCATGAGAGTGATTGTGTAAAACACAATGTGAATGAAGAATAGTGTGAAACCAATGTATACAAAGTTTGCAAGAAAACCAAAAAAAGGGGGAAGTCATTATGAGTCAGATGACAGTTTATTGTTGTATACCTAAGAAAAAACCTTTAGCTGACCTCCATTGGATTTTCAGAAGCAGTTAATTGCAAGGGAGATTGTTCATCCTTCTCAGATATGGTTAATAGAAGAAGTGTTAAGCACGGCTTTTGCATTTAAAGACTTTACAACAACTTCAAGAAGTTGCATACATATGCTAATTACCAAGTTAGAGATGAATACAATAAGTGCTTGAAGAACGGAGGAGGAGGAATGCCTTTGGTCTGAGATGAGCTGCAATTTACAAGAAAGGTTTTTTCAGAAGCTGGGCTTCCAATTGAATTTGACCAGAGTGGTTTGGGTTTGTATCATTGTACAGAAGGGACAGGAAATATTCCGGGTTTTCTAGGAAGTTGGTCTTAAAGTCAGATCAAACATCAAAATTCAAAGTTATTTTTATTGTTCTGCATTATAATTGTTCTGAGCCCCTTTCTCCTTACTTATATTCTGACTTTATACCATAAGTTATAAGCACATTGAAGAACGAAGGAGGCTGCCAGTGAGCAAACTGTAATTACTTTATATTAAGACAAATTAGGTAGCTTTTGTCTCAGTTATAGGCAAGATTATGTGATCACTGAGAACCTTAACTATGGAAGAAAATAAAAAGAAAGTGCTGAAGATCAGTGGTGTCTCTCTGGAGACTAAGGTGCGTCTGATACAGGCCATGGTCTTCGCAATCACCTGTTATGCATCAGAGAGTTGGACAATGACCAAGGAGGATAGAAGGAGAACTGATGCCTTTGAGCTGTGGTGCTGAAGAAGAGTACTGAGAATACCATGGACTGCTAGGAAAACAAATAGATTTGTCCTGGAGAGGGTTACACTGGGTGGCTCATTGGAGGCAAGGATTCTGAGGCTCCGTCTAACTTACTTTGGACATGTAGTGAAGAGAGACAGGTCCTTGGAGAGGGACATCATGCTTGGGAGGGTGGAGGGACGGCGCAGGAGAGGAAGGCCCTCCATGAGGCGGATTGATTCAGTGACTGGGATAATTGGGATGGGAGTGTCAGAGACAGTGCGATTGGCGCAGGACAGAGCGGAGTTTAGGGCTGTTGTACATAGGGTCGCTATGAGTCGCAGGCGACTCGATGGCACACAACAACAACATGGGAAACAAGGTTTCACTAACTCTGAGATAATCTGGTCTTCTGAAGAAAGTGGAAAGTGCTTATTATATTGAGGTCATTATTGCAGTTTTATAAAAGTTAAAGAGTTATTGAAATGTCCATAAACTAATGAAAAGCTGGTTATCTAGTTAGCAAAAATATCAGTAATGGATATCTTGAACAAACAAAAATCATCATCTTGCAGTTTGGAAGGTTACATGCTCAAATTCAGAGTGCTAACTCTATGAGTTGCAGGCGACTCGATGGCACATAACAACAACAACAACTCTGAAAAAAGGCTTTGTCTCTCTGTTAACAAAGAAGGTCCTTGCATCTTCTAAGTACCTATAGGCTTAACATTCCACGGAGTCATCGTACAGCTTAGAACTTAACTTGTGTTGAGGTGCTTCCAAGAACAGAAACCTTGGTACAAAAGATGTGTTCCACTTATATGGTCTTTCCTGGTAGTAACTGAAGTCTTCTGTCTCTGCTCACTTTCTCTCTTTTTTAATCTCTTGTGTGATAAAAACTGTTGCAGGCTATATTCCAGGGAAATTCCCTTTACAACTGATTGGCTGATTGCATCTCAGATGATATCATAAGGAAGGGCCATATCATGATATAATTCTATTTAATCCTTTCTCATTAACGTTGTTGTTGATTGCCTTCAAGTTGAGCATGACTCATAGGAACCCTTTGAACAAAAGTCCCGAAGCCCCTCTACAACTATCGACATACAGAGGTTGAAATGTACA